TTCCTCCGTTCCTTTCACCTTTCCTTCCTTCCTTTGCTTTCTTTCAAACAATTGTGAAGCCTTTCATTATTTTCCAGTAAGAATCTTAAAATATTTTCACTTAATGATAACCAATCATACTTATTTAAGCAATCAAATGATTATTTTTCCCCATACCATTGCAAAGAAGATCATAATAAATTCTCATTTGTTCAAGGCTGCTGTCCTATATGTAACCTCACTCACCATGTTCAAAGATAAGGCCCCTCCCTTCACTTTCTATATATTCTCTAATTTTTCACAGAAAGTTCCCTCAACCCTCCTGCCTTGAGTAATAGGTCACTCTACCCCCTAAATACAGCTTGTGATGGGTTCCAAATACCACTTTTATACTGTCACTTTTTTTCTTAAGAGATGGAGTCTTGCTGTTTTGCCTAGACTGAAGTGCAGTGGCACAATCATAGCTCATTGCAGACTCAATCTCCTGGGCTCAAAGGATCCTCCTGCCTTAGCCTCCCAAGTAGCTGGAACTAGAGGTGCGTGCTACTACACCTGGCTAATCCATCAATAGTCTTGAAAAAAAAATCCTCCTTCTTTGAAATATATGACACCTGCTATCTCTCCTTGTCATTGGAAACCACACATTTCTGCTCACTCCTACTGAGAGGCTTTAAAATCCTTAGTTCCCTTGTTCTCCATCAAGATCATCCTTAAAAAACCTAACATTGAATCAATCCAACTATCCACCTCCAATCCTACACCAACATTGCTAGGCTACTGGAGAAAATCTCATAAATGTAGAGATTATTTCTATCATATTGTCTCCATCTCATTTGGGCTTTCACTACTACTTGTCAATCCTTTATATGTTCCTAGTGAATGTTCTCTCCAATTCTACACACAATCTACTGAAAATGCTCTTCCTTATACCATCTATACTGACACTAATTTCTTTTCTCTTAGTAATTAACTTTCCCTCTACCCCCGAAAAATATTGCTTTTGGGTATTGACTTTTTCCATTTCTTGCCCCTATATTTACAAACAAGTCTATAAATACATCCACTGAATTACACTGATTGCATTCATCGCCCCAGTTAATGACCTCCCTTTTCCACACCCTTTGCCCTACAATATTGTAGTCCCTTCTCATTCTGATCCTGTGCTTGCCCATGTAACTTCCTTTTGTGGAGGCTTGAAGAAGTGCTTGCGTATTTCTGCATTCTGTTTGGAGCTCAGTTAGGACCTTGAACAGAAGCCCAAGCTAACCTGCTGGAGGATGAGAGCACATGGAGCACAGCTGAATTGTCCTAGCCAAGAACTTCCTAGTCCAGCCAGTCTCAGCCAATCTATCAGCTGACACGGAGCATGAACAAGCCTGAAGACAAGATTTGCCAAATCTGGTCCAGTAGAACTGCCTACTTAATCTGCAGACTCATGAGAAATAATAAGCAGTGGTTGTTTTCAACCACTACATTTTGGGATGGAGAGTTATGTAACAATGGCTGACTAATACAAACTCTCACCTCCAACTCTCCACTCTCAGAGGAAGAATCCTTTCTCCTTTTTAAGACAAATTTATTTATCTACTTGCCCTTTATCCCATTCCTGCGTTTCAGATCTCATCCTTTTGATTATCTCTCCATATATTGCATTTTCAACCTCTTGCTCCCTTTTGACCTCTTTCCCTTATATATTAATATAAGCATGTTCAAATCTTTCCCATTAAAATAAAACACACAAAAATAAACCTGTGTCTTCCACAAGTTATGGACCTATTCTGTCATTCTTTTCATTTATATTCCTTGAAAGGATAATAATTTATACTAGTGCATTAGTTAGGGTTCTCCAGAGAAGTAGCACCAACAGGATGTATATATTTATAGAGAGAGATTTATTTTAAGCAATCGGTTTATGCAATTGTGGAGGCTCAGTAAATTTAAAATCTGATGATGAAGGCTAGCAGGCTAGAGACTTAGGGTTGTGCTTCCCAGACTATCTGGGTCTTCTCATGTAACAGTAGCTCCAGCTACCAAATCTTTATCTTCCACTTAGCTCGCTCTTCTGAGCTTCATTTCATTCATTCTTTCACTGAGGGTGTTAATAGGGTATCTATCTTAATGAATGCAAAGCACTATGGGACCTTGTGGCAACTTTTAAAATGTCCCCCCAAAACCCTGTCTCCTGTTATTCACACCCTTGTTTTACTCCTCCCTTTGAGTGTGGGCTTCCAATGAATAGAATAGAGCAAAAGTGATGAGATGTTACTTATGAGATTAGGTTACAAAAACACTCTGGCTTCTTTTCTTATTAATTCCATCTTACCCTCTCTTAGAACTGTCTCCTTGTGTCTTTCTCAAAAGTCTTTGCTCTGGGAGCAGCAAGCAGACATGTTGTGTGGGAAGCCTTACGAAGAGGCTTACATGGCAAGGAACTCAAGTTTCAGGCCAATAGCCAGAAATAACGTGAGGCCTGCCACCAGCTATGCTAGTGAGTTTGGAAGCAGGTCCTCTCCAGTTGAGTCTTGAGATGACTGCCTACCTGGTCAATACCTTGATTGCAGCCTTCTAAGAGACCCTGAGGCAGGGGCACCCAGTTAAGTTGTGTAACTAATGAGCTGGTCAAAGGGATGTGGACAAAAGTGGTGTGTGCAACGTCTGGAATGTGCCCTTAAAAGGAAGGTAACATCATTGTTTCCCTTTGACTCCTTTTCTGCTGGCTGGAATGCAGTGTAATTGTTTGGGTGAGTTGACTTGAACCGTGAGGATTCTTGATCCACAAAAACCATGAGAAAATAAATATTTATGGTTACAAGCTGCTATGTGTTTATGTAGTTTGTTTTATAGCAATAAATAACTTATACAGGGCTGGCTACTCAGGATCCATCCTCAAATAATGAATGCTCCCTGACATAAATGATCCCTCATCCATTAGGGGTGATGGAACAGTGTCTGTAACCACAGCACAACATGGTAGGTGTTACAATATACACAACAACTGGTGGGAGCATAAAGAGAAGAGAATTTCAATCATACTTGAAGGTGAAGTGATTCACGCAGTGGATTTTATTTTGTCATTGAATGAGGAGGCTAAATCATTTGATGAATATGAAGAGAAAAAGATGGTGGGATACTTGAGGAGAAAATGACTTTTTAGCACCTATGCTGAGAAGAATAGTTGAAGGAATTGGAAACGAAACAACTAATGGTATTTAGGTAGTGTAGAAGTAGGGACTGGAAATAATGGACTTATATGATCTTCAATCTGAGGTTGGGATTTATTATGCTAAATACTTTAGCAATCTGGATATAAGATTAGAGAAATTGATGGCTGAATTTGGGATTTCAGAGAAGGTGAAACAGAAAAGCAAGGAACCAAGGAAGATGAGTTGAGAAAAACAGCAAGACAATTATTGCAGTTCTGGCTCACAGAGTTTAGACTGACTAGGGAAAGAAAGATAATCAAAGCTTCTGAGAGTTTAGGGAAAAGGCACCTGATTCTGATCCCCCACAAATAACTGAGACTAAAGAGCCAATGCTGTGTTTGATTTAAGCCTAGGTGATGTATTCCCTCCCTGAGGTGGAGAAAACTCACAGCTGAGAAGAAAGTTCAGGTATGCTACCATGAAAACCATGAACGCACTAGCAGAGATCACTAATTCCCTACTTTCTTCTAGGGTAAGTGAACCCCTAATTTTTGGGGGGAGAAATAACAAATGCACTTCCTAATGTTTCCTGTAGCTAGAGATGGCCATGTAGCTAACGAGTTGGTCAAAGGAATGTGGACAAAAGTGATGTGTGCAACTTCTGAACTGTGCCCTTAAAAGGAAGGTGACATTATTGTTTTCCTTTCACTCTTTTTCTGTTGGCTGGAATGTGGTGTAACTGTGGTGGTGAGCTGACTTGAATCATGAGGAAGAGACTACATCCTAGGGAGGGCAGAACAACGGAAGGGGCCCATATCCCTGAATGATCTCATAGAACCTTCACACCAGCCCTAGTCCTACATGAGGGACAATTAAACTTGTTCATTTTTCAAACCACTTTTAATGTGGGTCTCTGTAACAAGCATCAGGACCTATATTTCACCTATTTCAGATGTCCACTAAAAAAGATAAGCTGGGAATATATATGACCATAGCGTAAGACAGAAAGCAGTAAGCAATAAATAGAGGCACACGTAAAACTTAAGGATGTGTATAATAATCACCTCAAGTCAGGCTGGGAGCTTTCATTAAGAGGTTGACGTTTCTGACCCATGACAGACTCCAGACTTTCCATAAGGTGGTGGAGTGCAGGACAGGGAATGTGACTATGTGCTCTTAAGAATCATCCATTGATTTTCCTATCATTTTTCTAGACCTTTTGACTTATTGTGAAAAAAATTATGTGGCTCATGATAAAATTGGAGTGAATAGCAGACGATAAATTATTCAGGGCCCTTTCATTATCTAGAGCTGCAATCACTAAATAGGTAACCACTGGCCACACGTGGCTAATTATATTTAAATTAATTAAAATTAAATAAAATTTTAAAACTCAGTTCCACACACCGGCCACATTTCAAGTGTTCAGGGGTCACAGGTGGCCAGTAGCTACTGTATTGGACAGCACAGATAGGGAACATTTCCATCATGTCAGAAAGTTCTATTGGACAGTTCTAGAGAGATCTGAGAGACAGTATGTGTCTCTCGCCCACCAATACTCCATCTCGCCCTCAGCCTGTGTGCAATCCAAGCCTAGAGACTGGTCCCCAGGCTCTACCACTTTCTACAGAAGATTTAAAAACTGGTAGTGCCAACAGAAGTCATTTAGCCTAGTCCCGCCAAGAAGGTGCTGTGGTAATAAAGTCCAAGAGTCTGTCACATAAGTCGGGTCAGCAAGTCGGCGGCGAAAAGAGGGCTACGTCCCGGACTTGCTGAGAGGAGGCGGGACAAAGGGGCGGGGCGAGAGCCTCGCGCTCCTGGTGGGCGCTGTCAAGAGGCCGGGGGCGGGGCCGAGCCCGGCTGGGCGGGGCCTTGAGGGGCCGGCCGGGGGCGGGGCAGCTGGCGGGTCGGCGCGGGCCCAGCCGTGCGTGCTCACGTGACGGGTCCGCGAGGCCCAGCTCGCGCAGTAGTCCGGGCGAGCGAAGATGGCGGCCGAGAGGGAACCTCCTCCGCTGGGGGACGGGAAGCCCACCGACTTTGAGGATCTGGAGGACGGAGAGGACCTGTTCACCAGCACTGTCTCCACCCTAGAGGTGAGAGCGCGTCGCTGTGGGTGCTGCGCTGCGTCGCTGTCGCTCGTCTCACCTTTCCCCTGCCCTGACTTTTCCCTCCCCACCCCCCGGGTTTGCAAGGACCGTCTAGGGGTGACACCTGTGACGCGAGCCCCACCTCCGGTGCCCGTCAGAGGTCTGTGTCTTGGGCTGAGCGCAAGGCCTCCTCAGTAGAGCAGCCTGCGACCCGGGGGTGCCGACCTAATCCTCTGAGGGGCCGGGACCGAACTGAGAATGGCAGCGGCCCTTTCCCAGCTCAGCTGGCCTTCCTCGGTGTCACTTGCACCTCCTCCTCTTCAAGCCAGGAAAGGGCTTGCTCTGCATCCCAGTAAACCTCCACCGAGCTCTCCGGGGGCTTCAGTAGCCCTTTTGGAGAGGTGCTCGCTTTTGCTTTCCCGAGGAAGGGTGTGCCGCTGCCAGGGGAGTGCAGTGAAGTGAGCGCTGAGGGGCTGAGGGTCTGTGGGAAATGAATGGGTGCCCTTTCCCAGGAATGGCTCTTCACGGACTGAGGTTCCTCTTGAGGGAGCTGCTTTCGATTTGGACTGTTAATTAGGTAAATGCATTTGCCTGTTTTTGTTTGTCTTTAGTTCCTAGACTTTTAAAAGGTCATAGTGTTTATAAAATGTAAAACTGAAGGCAGGATTAGTCCAGGAAACTGCTGTTGTGTGTGTGTGTGTGTGTGTGTGTGGTTTTTTTTTTTCTAAGTTACCTAGGGAGAAATAGAAACAGATGTCCACTCCTTTTTCCTCTTTTCTCGCTTGATCAGCGATCTCTGAAGCTGTGTGTTCCTGTTTTTGTCAAAGGAAACACCCTCTGTAAACTTAACTGTATTGGGCCCTCCTATATCCAGTTCACATTTGAATTGCTTTGCGTTTGATGAGAGCACCCACACTTCACAGCCTAATTTTAAGTGTGTGTATGTGAATTAAAATGTACGAAATTTCCCAGAGGATTGTTTACCGTGGGCTGTACTTGCTTATGAAGTACTTTTAATAAGCTTTCTTGGCTTGTTCAACTCTGCACCCAATCAATTGGAAATTACTGTAAAATATCCATTATCTGAAATTCAGTTACCTGAAATTGGAAACCCGGAAACCGTTTTCAGCACTGATCACATTCTGCTAATTGCATGTGCAGTGTCCCAGCCAAACCCCACTTCCCCTCAGGTTATAGGCTTCCTGCAGCTAGTGTTAGTTTCCTGATCATCTTTGTGTCTCTCACAAAATTTTGAACATGTGTATTTATTAGGTTGGGACAAAGTAATTGCGTTTTTTGCCGTCCCTTTTAATAGCCAAAAGCCGCAATTACTTTTGCACAAGCCTAATAGTAAATGTTTACCTGAGTTAAAACCAGCACCTCCTAAAATTAATAAAAATTACTTTGCAGAATATATTTTTGGGGATTAATATCCTTTTAGCCCTTTATACTTACTATACAGCTACTTTAACATGTACATGTGTTGAAAGTGTCTGCAGGATCCTAAGACCTGTATTCCTTTTGGAGGATACAGTTTTTCTACCAGCGAGAATCAGAACAAACTTGATTGACCCTAGTGTGAACTAGAATACTGTGAAGGCTAAGCATTCTGTTGGGGGTCTGTTAGAGTTGAGTAAAAAGAACTATAATCTGTATTTCCCATGTGAATGGAACTTTTTAAAAACCAGAGCGTTATATCCTTTCTTCCGTAAGTCTGCAAAGTTTGTTTATGAATAATTTATCTTGGTTAACGCACGTGAAAGTTGTAAACACATTTGTTTTTGATTGTTCATCTCAGCCCCTTATTTAATATACTCATTTAGGTTACTGATTTTCAGAAGGTGGTGTGGCTGTGAGATTTGTAAAGTCAGATTTTTTTTTTTTTCTTTTCAAATTTGGAAAGAATATATAGCAGTATTTCCTAGTATACCAAAACTGCTTTAAAGGAACGTTCTTTCAGTGCTTCACTTTTCTTTTAAACAGTGCTTCTCAAACTGTGGTGTGCCGGAGTATCCACAGTATTCATCTTTAAAATGCAGATGGCTGTGCCTCACTGGAAACAGCATGTTTAATAAAGTGTTCCAGATCCGTGTTTTGCAATCTTTATAAATAGGGATCTTGTTGAAGTGCAAATTCTGATTCTGTAGGACTGAGTAGAGCCCGATATTCGGCATTTTTAATAAGCTTTCCTGATATCAGTGCCTCTGGTCCATAGACAACATTGAGTTGCAAGGCCCTGGGTAATTCTGATATAGATCATCAGTTCTAGAACACTAGAATTTATTCCTCCTATTTGGCTGTAATTTTGTATGTTAACCCATTTTTGACTATTGGCCCCTTCCCAGACTCTACTAATCACTTACTTTCTACTTCTATAAGATCAACTTTTTAAACTTTTAAATAAGTTTAATCATTTGAAGAGTTGCCAGACTGGTTTCCCAAAATGGGATGAGTTGGAGGCACTTTTTTAAAAAAATTATTTTATTTTTTCAAGTTCTGGGGTACTTGTGTAGGATTTGCAGGTTTCTTAATAGGTAAATGTGTGCCATGGTGGTTTGCTGCTCCTATCAACCCATCACCTAGGTATTAAGCCCAGCATGCATTAGGTCTTTTCCCTAATGCTCTCCCACCCTCCCCTGACAGGCCCCAGTTTATGTTGTTCTGAGTTGGAGGCACTTTAAACAGTCTGAGGTTAAAGGCCTAAAGAACGAAAGTGCAAATAATAAAGGAGAAAAGAGAACTAATGTAATAACAGATTAAAAGTTAATATTCAGAATACTTACAATGCCTCCCTTCAGGTGATTCTTAGGGGAGGGAATAATAAGTTTATTTCACTTAAGGATATGTTATATCAGTGAAGATAGCATTAGGCAGCTAGGGATGCTGGATGGGCTAGAGATGTAGCTTTGGGAGTCTATCTTAAATTTATTGAAAACACTAAACCGGAATCTTTGTGGAAATCTAGCCCTCCTCTAGTGGAGTGTATGAACCAACAGAAGTCAGTATAATAAATACAACCATGTGAATAAATACCTGCCATACCAGGTGATATATGTGTAATTAAATATCTGCACAAGGTACAGAAACAGGTGATATATGTGTAATTAAAATATGCACAAGGTACAGAAACAGTATAGAATACTGGAGTGACTTGATTGCGTGGAGATAATCTTTGAGGCCCTAAAAGTGGTTGAGAATTATCAAGAGAAAGTAGATTAAGACAAGAGACACTTTTGATAAAGAGGAACTGAGAACAAGTTTAATATCTGCTGTTCTAACACAACAGGTAGTAAAAGTGTATATGTTTTCTTTTCTTTTCTTTTTTTTTTTTTTTTTGAGACGGAGTCTTGCTGTGTCCCAGGCTGGAGTGCAGTGGCGCAATCTCGGCTCACTGCATCCTCTGCTTCAGCCTTCCAAGTAGCTGGGATTACAGGTGCACACCACCACACCTGGCTAAATTTTGTATTTTTAGTAGAGACGAGGTTTCACCATGTTGACCAAGCAGGTCTTGAACTCCTGACCTCGTGATGTGTCCACCTCGGCCTCCCAAAGTGCTGGGATTACAGGCCTGAGCCACTGTCCCCGGCCTTGTTTTCTTAATTCTGTTTTCTAATCCTTGGGCCTCCAACTTTAAATGTATGAATTTTTTGAAAATTTCATTATGAATTATCTATGTTTCAGAGGGAAAAATTTGTGAACAGGTATTTAAATGCATTAAGCATGGAAAATTACTAGAAAGAGATTTGTGAAGAAGCATGATTCTAGTTGACCACTTTGTCTTGAAACCTTTAAATTTAAGAAGTTTTGAATGAATTATTTTTAGATCCTATAAAAATATGTTATTCTATGAAGTTGCTTGAGAGAGGAATGCTCAACTTTTCTTGAAGAGATTTTCTTAGCCTCTTTCCAGCCTCTGGCAACCACTGATCTGTTTTCTGCCTAAAGTTTTGTCTTTTCTAGAATGTCATATAGGTGGAATCATACATTATGAAACTTTTAGAGTTTGACTTTCTTTAACTTAACATAAAGCATTTGAGAGTCATTAAGTTTGTTCTGTGTATCAGTTGTTAATGACAGTTTGTCTGTTGATCAGCCGAAGGACATTTCAGTTGTTTCCAGTTTGGGGTATTTATGAATAAAGCAATATAAACGTGTACTTACAGGCTTTTGTGTGAGCATGAGTTTTCAGTTTTGCAGCGTACATACAAAGTAAGGTGGCTGGGTTGTGTGGTAAATATAAGCTTAACTTTAAATAAACTGCCAAACTATTTTCCAAAGTGGCTGTACCATTTTTCATTGCATCAATAATGACTAAGAATGACAGCTTTTCCATATCCTTGTCAGCACTTGTTATTAGCAGTTTTAGTTTTAGGCAATGGTGAGCTTAAGGCTGGTCTTGCTAACAAGAACTGCATGTTACATTTTTAGGAATTTTATGAACTAGTTAATACACCGCCATTATTATGAGTTAAATACAATGAATTTAAAATTAAATATATACATATGTAAAGTTTATAAATGTATAAAATTTTTATTAATGTTATAAATATGTAAAAATAATAAATATACAAAACTCCTCACTGATTCCTTTACTATATTTCCCTATTACCTATGCTCTTGAGATTAATTATGTCTGTATGGTGGAAAGTACGTCTTCCCAACTCTACCACAGAAATCAGCAAAAGCTAAAAATCTGGATCTTCTCCTCTGCAGATCTGATTGCTAAACATTTGCCTACACACCACTGACTTTTAGCCATTCTAAGAGGTGTTTAGTGTTACCTCATCCCTTTAATATATATTCCCTAATGACTAATGTTGCTGAGTATCTTTTTATGTACATAACATCTGAATATTATCTTTTTTGGTTATGTGTTCTTTTACATCTTTTGCTTATTATTTTATTTTAATTTTATTTGAGACAGAGTCTTGCTCTGTCGCCCAGGCTTGGAGTGCCGTGGTGTGATCTTGGTTCACTGCAACCTCTACCTCCTGGGTTCAAGAGAT